AAGGAATTTCTCAAGCTGAGGCTCGCCAGACCCGGCAGCTCTGCCGAGGGATAGGCGAAGAAGTTCATTCGTACGGATAGACTGACTCCCGACTTCATCAGGACGAAGATACTCAATGAGACAGAACAGGATCTGACGGCTTTTCAGCCTCGTCCCCCTTTTTACCTGAGCCTCTTCAGTCAGCCTGCTGATCTTGGCAACTATTGGTTTCGATGTGATGCACTTTCTCAGCGCAGCATTGAACCTATTGTCAAGGATCGGGTAGAGGCACTCCTCATCAAGTTCCTCTATTGCGCTGGCGTTCTCGACACTCATGACCCAAGACATGGCATATGGCGAGTCATAGCTGAATGCGTTGCTCACAATTTCTCTCGTGGAAATGATCCAGTCTCGCAACTCATGCGGTGCAGGCTCTTTTTCGAGCTCAATGTTAGCGCACTTGTTCGCCTCGGACGGCAACGAGGTTAAGGGTGGTCGAGTAGCCTGTCCAAAAACGTGAGGAGGTAAAACGCCATCTCGGCCAATGGATATGGCACATAGAGAGCAACTCCCGGATGATGGCGGGCAGCACGCGGCACATAATGAAGTGCGGCACAACGAACATGTTTGGAAGCATGGGGGCGTCCCGGGAATGCTGGTCTTGACATTGATGTTGCATCGAGGGCAGACCCTCTCCTCAGCGGAGGATCGGCGGAGATCGGGAGCTCCAATACCGCCGACACCACTGGCGCCATGCACACCCTTATCGAGTCCTGGTGGAAGAGAGAAGCCATTCGAACCGCCAGAGTTATTCTGTGCTCCCTGGTGATGCTGTGAATTCTGCTGATTTGTCACAGCAGCGTCAGATCCATATCTCCCGCGAATGATTCCCTGAGATGTTCCATGCTCGACCTGACCGGTGAAAACCCCCCCCGTAGGGGAACACCCAGGATATGTGTTGATGGTCCCCCTCGGAACTGCTCGTCCGACTACGGGCGAAGACATTGCCCTTGGTGGCATTGGCCCGGCAGCTCCGACGTTGGAACAGAAACCAGAATTCCCTTGGTGCGGTTCAGGACTCCGATGTGACGGATCTCCACGTGATGGCCCGGATCCAGGATCAGGAGCAGTGCCATCCTGCTGATTATGATCAGGAATGCAATCAGGTCCTCCAGGCCCCGCGCTGGGGCCGCAATGCTTAGTTTTCCCGTCGGGATCAGCTCTCAGACAACCGAGGCAAATAGGTCGAACACTCGACCCAAAACGACGTACATCGTCAGGCGAAGCGATGTGTTGATCGCAGTACTCGTCCCTGCATATGAGACACCTCACAAGTCCGTGTCTCCCCCCTCTTCCTCTGCATGCGCGGCATCTAGGAAACTGATCGCTGCACTTGAAACACGAGTTACAGTCATGGTCAAAGCAGTCTTCGCAGACTGACTTGCCGCAGCTTCGGCATGGATAGCGAGGTTCCCGATGCTGTGGATGCCCGGGCTCCTCATGATCACACCTGGCCCGGTTATCAGGGGCAGCGCCGGCAGCCCGAGCAATGGCCCTCGCTCTAGAGGGATCCCTGCCGAAGATGGGGGCTGATGGTGATGGTGGGGGTGGCCCCGAAGGAGGTGGAGGGGGAGGTGGAGGAGGCCTCGCCGAGCTGACGGTGCGAGCATCACGAGGAGGAGAACCTCTAGGAGCCCTTCCCTGGGTTAAGGGATCTGTGTCTCCAGATTTCTCCCATGATCCCGTTCCGGCGGTCGAACCAGCGCCAGCACTTGAGGATCCGCAGGCAGCAAGAGGTTGCTCCCTCAATTCAGCGACCTGCATGTTGATCTCATTGACCCTCAGCACAAGCTTCATAAACTGCTCTTGCATGTCCCTCGGGTTGGGGCCTAAGCTTTTGTCATGAAGGTCCTTGACACATCTAGCAATGCGGGACAATTGAAGCTTGAATTCTTCCTGTTTCTGTGAGTTCTCATTGAGGGCTCCGGATACCTTATTACTGAACTGCTTCAGGTCGGTCGCAGGAACGAGATGCTGGATATACGTCTCGACGTTCCCACGGATGGTTCTTTCTCTTGAGATGGTTCCCTCAATGTCGATGACACTGCGAGAGTTCGCCTCAACTTCGTCTTTGATTTTCCGAACCTCAGCCTCAAGGGCCCCGATCTCAGAAAACCTAAGAAGCTGGACCTTGGCGTTCTCAAGTGATTCGGCCTGCTCGCGAAGTTCAGCAGCGGATATGACGATCGAGTTAGATCTCTCATCATACATCTTGAAACGCTCATTCATCTCCTTCTCGCTTCGGGCAACCCACTCGTGGAAATCACGGAACTTAGCCTCGTGTTTTGAGAGAGTTCCGGCAACGGCAGAGAAGGATGATTCAACTTTCTTCTCGAAGGCGTCAACACGGTTATTGATCTTCTTGATCTCACCGACGCAAGCGTTGATATCATCCCTACATGAACGAATCTCAGCTCTGCATCCCTGGATTTCGGCCTTGCACCCCTTGACCTCGTTATGGATCGCGAGAAGCAGTCGTTGAAGCTCAGATGCAACAGGATGGCCGCCACTTGTGGAAGCAGACGGAGCAGGACGACTATCAGCGTCATGATCTCCGCGGCTATTCTCTTCCCTGTCGGGAGTGCAGCCCGGAGTTCCGATTTGAAAGAATGCGGGGACAACGGAGTCGTTGACCGGTTGATTCGAAGGAAGCCCTCCATATCCAGGGGCAATAGTGCTAAGACCAGGTCTCCGATTCCTAGGCGTAGAGTTAATCCCGTCATCAGTCTCCTTCTCAGACATCGGGGCGTTGGAGCTGAGCCCAGACCCCGCAGAGTGTATAGGAACGTCAATAGGATCGTGATGAGCTGGGGGATTAGATCGCAGTCGTAGAGCAGCTTCACGTCTCTCGGGTGACTCAGAGCTCCTCTTTGTGGCTCGTGAGTCAGTGCCGGTTTGTCCCGACACATTATCAAATGATGATGATCCGCGAAGTTGAGCTTGATCTGGATTAGGTTGAGTGAGATCAAGCCGTTGAGCAACGTCACCATTGAGTGGCTTAGGGGAAAGTACTTTGGCAACGCGGCTCGGCGGGAGCGATGTAGTTCGTCTCTCTGGTGTGACCTCGGCCTCATCGATTACATCAAGGATCCCAGGAATGGTTTCATCATCTTCATTTCCTCTCCTGGGTGGCTGATGGAAGGGGATGTCGAGGAGGTCAAATGGAGTAGAGCCAATACCAGGTGTATCCTGCTCGGATCCATCACTGGTACGGTGGCTGGACTGCTCCTCGAGGTCGATGACGTCGGGGGCGGACTCTTTTCGAGTCTGACGCCGATTGAACGCCGCGAAGAGACCGGCATGGCTTCTTGACGAAGAGAAGGAAGGATTTGGGCCTGCTGTTTCGCGGCCCGCATCCGATCGACTAGTACCTGATGTCCGATTTGGCGGATTTGAGCCCGCGTTGTAGCGGTTCGCATCCCGACCTCGGGTACCTGAGGAAAGCGGTGGATTCGGACCAGCGTTGTAGCGGTCCGCATTCCGGTCGCGGGTACCTGACAGGTGAGATGATACTGCATCAGGGATGAAGTCCATATCCGCCGGACTGGGGTGATCGTGAATGATGTCAATGTCGGATGAACCTGAGACGGGAGGAGGGCCAGCTATTTGCGGCCAATCCTCAATCGCCCGTTTGCCCACCTCGGGTTGGGCCGAACCTGCAACATGAGAAGGGGAGAAATCTTCAACGGGGTCATTTTCTCCATCATGAGGAAAACCCTGAGTAGGCTCATGCGACGGCAGGGCATCAAAGGATCCTGTCAATTCGGGAAGGCTGAGACCTCCAATCAGCATCAAAAAGGGATTGAAAATCCAGATTCCCAACCGAAACGGGGGCACCCGAGTTAAAGTCGAGCCGACCGAAATCAGGCGGTGTAGCCTGCGATCCACTGCCGAGGAGTTGGTCAAACTGATCCCATGTAAGGGACCATGATTGAGCCGGCTCCGGATGAGCAGCATGATGGATAGCCCGGTCCTCGATCTGGAGCGCCACGAACGGAACAGTAGGCGAAATCGATGAGGGCACCTGATTTGGAGGAACCTCAGCCTCTTCTAGAGGGGGTCCGTCCTCGATCTGGAGCACTGCCGCCGGGATAGGGGCCTCCGCATCCTCATCAAACACAACCTGAGAAAGTATCCAATCGTCCGTGATCACCCCGGGATTGGGCTCTGCGCCCACCATCGGGGGAATGGGCCACAGCCGGCTGTCTAAGCCGGGGGCAGCAGGCGCGGCGTTGCCGCGAAGGGCGTTGGCCTCGTCGTCCACGAAGCCCGGCCCACGATGAGAAGCTCCGGGGGACGCCATTGCTCGTACAAGTAGGCGATGGGAGCAGGTAGCGGGTCACGTCCCGCAACCGGATCACCAGCCCCAGCTTCTAGCTGGTACGGCTGATAACCTGCGGTTTTGGGCGAACACGAAGTAGCCCAGGGAAGCAAATGAGCACAAAGTAGATCACGATGTACCCAAAGCACCCGGAAACACAACTCGGGTGAAGCTGTGGATGATGACCGGGTTGAGGAAGTGACGGTTGACAAGGGAGAAGTATGGGGAGGTTAGAAATCAAGTTGAAGAGGATTAAGTTCAATACCAAGCCCAAGTAGAACAGCGCGACTCACCGAGCACCTCCTACACCCAGCCGCCCGCGGCCCCGACCCTTTTCGGCTCGAGGACGAAGAAAGCTGCCAGTGAATGGCGCACGAGCGTGAGTCCTATTCCCACTTGACGGGAGGTAAAAACTTGAGCCAAACGGCCGTTCGGCCGTTTTGACATATGAAGAAACAACACGTGAACAAAACACAATAACCAAAGCCAGCAAATCGGCACATCTATAATTCAACACATGTTTGCCAGCAATTCAAGAGGCCAAGAAGTCAACAAGCACAAGTCAACAAACCAACGCCAAAGATTCAACACGAAGCACAAAGTCAAACTTGTCCAGAACTGCTAGCAGAATCCGAGTTTCCCGGGCGTGGGCTCAATCGGCACCAGCCGGTCAGAGATGAAGGTGGTCCGCCCGCCCGAGAAGCGATCGTTCAGGTACAGCTGCACCGTCAGGAAGCTTCGGCCGGCTTCGTCCTCGTGGGCACAGTCCGTGTGGTCGCTGTGGTGCATACCCGGCACATACTTCCTCAGTGAGCAAAGCTTGGAACCGACAAACCCTAAACCCTAAACCATTGGAGGTGCACGACATTCCCCCTTTTGCCGGGGGTTGCTGAAGCATTTCCCTTAAACATCTGAAGGTGCTTTCTTTGCTGGCTTGCTTGCTTGCTTGCTCGCTGCTGGTTCTGATCTAGTCAAACATGCCAGACATGACACTTTGTTTGAGGTCCCGCCACCTTGAGTCCGCTATAAGTTCTAGACCGATCGAACACTTACAATCATGCTGCGGAAACATCCAACTGCCATTCGTGAATAGCACCATGTCTGCCAGGCAAGGATCAACTCGCAGCATGCTGTTTCGACGCACGCCAGCTCACTTCACACATTTCGGATTGGCTGCTCAGAAGCCATTCAGTAACCAATAGAAAACAAGGAGTTTCCTTTTTGGAGTTGATACTTTTGAGTCGGGAACCCATCAAGCAAAAAGGGAAGAAGGGTGCCACGGAACAACTGGAAGAAGGCTTGGAGTCACTCGGCAGCCTCGGGTGCAGCCTCGAGGGCTTCCAAGCTCAAGTGCACTCGGGCGGGGCTGGGTGCCCTCCTCCTTCAAGCAGCAGGGCTGCATGTCTGCTTTGAGACACGCGAGCCATGGGCCAAAGAACAATTGTATCTGCCTGGTCCTGTACACATACACAAACGGCACCCTTGTGCAGCGTTTAAATACTTCACTTTAGATTGTTGCGAAGTCAATCATGTCAGCATCATTTTCTGTTGTGCGCCTGAAACTCCTTTCGCCATGCATCAGGCCCGAGACGGCTGTCTTCCACATCCTGCTCAGAAAACCCACAGCGTTTCGCTTCTGCTGCCAAGCTCTGACGGAAGAGGAGGAAGCTGCTATCAGCGTCCAACTGGCTGTAAGACCAGGCCAAGGCGCAAAGGCCCCAACCGGTGATTCTGCCCAGCGTCGGCGACAGCTTTTTGGCTACTACCTTGAGGAGCTCCTTGTCGCATTCAGTCTGCAGCCTGGCAAATGCAACTACCACAGGCGGCAAGTTCATCTGTGCCCCGGATGGATTCCAGGCAGAGGCTTCGTTTACAACCCTTGCTGCTATGGCTTCCAGGAAGCCAGCTTCATTATAGTCAACCAGCGCCAGGCCCAAGCAATAGTTTGCAAGATGTTGAGGCAGAGCTCGCGGCAACACCACATGTGCTCGGGAAACCACTGCGGGAAAAACTTCAAGCAATCTCTTCGGCATGACTGAAGAACTGCTATCAAATGACAGCTTCCTTGTCGCCCATATGACGTTGGCAGCTGCTTGCTCTGTCATCTCCGAAATCACAAATGGGACTCTGTTTGCCAACAAAGGCAGCAAGTCCAACAATTCACTGCAGCTGGCCTTGTTTGAGGAGAGCTGTGCCACTGACCAGATGGAATTGGCAATATCTTGAGCGTTCGTGTCTAATATCACAGTTCGCACCCTAGTCGCCAAAAACGGCATCACAGCCAACCAAGCTTCAACATTGGCGCCAGCTGCAGATAAAGTCGCCACTGCCCAGATCACATTGGTAACCTCTTGGGGGTTCATCGCTTTTGCAGTGCTCTTGATGGCACCTGCCAAAGCTGTTTGGAGACCCTCCAGCTGAGGGATGCGGCTTTGAAGCTTTGCCACTGCCCAGAAGATGTTGGCTACTTGTCGGGCGTACCCGGATGACTTGTTCTCCAGCAACGACTGAGTCATCGTCACAAAACTTTGCACTGACTGAGACTTGCACGCACTATTCATGCTGCGCTGGTGTTTCGCAAGCCTAGTCCACGCTGCACCGATGCAGATCAGATTCATCTCCGGGTTCTCACGCTCTGCCAGCATCACATCCAAGATCTCTGATGCCAATGATGCCTTCGTGACCCGTTGTATGATGATCCCTGGGTCGGTGTGACCTGCCTCAACTGCTCCGCTGCGCCGATGCTCTGACCGGGGCCGAGGGCTCGTCTGCCGCCGCTCGCGGACACGACCTGTGGTCCGCCCGATGCTTCGCCGGGGCTGGCACGGGCCAGCAAAGGTTGGCTGGCCACAACTGATGTGCCAGGCCAGTAGCGTAAGGCACAAACCCCACCACGGATGAGTTGCAACCATGCTACCACTGTGAGTCTAAAGCTCAGGCTGAAGCGATTGAGCCTGCAATTGTCTGCTTCTCCACGCAGGCCGCATGCCATTGGGTTGCCAGGAGCACTCACACCTCTCACTCGGGCCATACCCCAACCTGATCCTTGACCCCGGCTGGAAAAAAACGAAAACCCAGGAACACATTTCGGCCGCGCCGCAGGAAGCGCAGGCGCTGGTTCACGCCCAATAGCTGGCGCCCGGACTGCGGGGGGTACTCCGATGGCAGCAGGCGACGCAAGCGCCGCGTCAGCGCTTGGGCCACCAAGGGCGCGTCCACCAAGCCTGGCACTTTGCTCACCGGAAATACCTCCCCAAAAGTCGACATCAAAATCCAAGAGGGTTCGAGCACATTCCAAAACGGTACTTAGAGCCCCTTGGCCCCTCACAGACCATCCGGAGGTACTGGAACCTGCGTGGGATTGAGTGGACATCAGAAATAGCTCCCCAAAACAAGAAAGCACCGACCCGCGCAGCAAGAAGCATACAAGGGAGGATCCCCAAATTGGCGGCTTTCCACAAAGTACCCGCAACAGAAACACAGGCCCAAATCCACAGCAAACCACAAGGAACTCTTCATCCAGGCGGCAGCGCAGGGCAAAGTGGGCGAAGGGGTTGAAGCCCTTGGAGCCTCGAAGGATCGGTTCGGTCGAATCCGCATGACCCGCGCGACCCGAACAGCACGTCGCCGGCTCTAGAGAAGATTTCCTCCCTTGCCCAGAGGATCTTGAAAGAGGACCAAAATGTGAAACCAAAGGGTCAAAAGGTGGGCTGTGGACAGGATAGCTAGAAATTGGCTGATTCCACCAGACCTTGCCCACATCTGGGAGGGACACTGAAAAATATTGTTCCCGATTCTGTCTCATACATAGTCTACCCTAAAAAATCTAAAATAGTTTTGAATGAGACACCAGAGAAGGGGAACTCCTTTTTGAGAAGAAAAAAAGTAGACAAGGAGACATGAGGGGTGAATAAACTGTGAGTATGGCTCAGCTTTCTACTTTGTTTTGGGTCTTGTTTCGGCGTCTGAGGGAGAATCATGAAATAGCATAAGGACCTCCAGATCTGGTTCCTGATGCGCATTACCACCAAAAGTCGGCTCAAAGCACTCGCAGCGATGGCCACTGTGAACAGCTGCAAGGAGGGGAAGCACACCCAAGGGGAGTAACTTACAAAGTTGCACATCCAAGCAGGGATTTACAAAAAGTGGCCCGAGTGGCCAGCCAAAGAGGACCCTGTTTTCGTCCGACCCTGTTTTCTGACCTCCACGTTTAAATACGACCAAAGCAACCATATTGGGAGTCAAACAAAACATGGGTCCCAAGGTCTTCTCTTGATTTCAACCAAAAAGGTCGCACCAACATCGCAGGCACGGTTCGACGCCTGCCCTTCTGAAAGCTTTATCAGCCTGAAGCGGCGAATGCAAGCTGAAAAAAAAAAACACGAGCAAACATGCGTACGTTTGCATGCATGTACATATGTGTTTGTCTATCTATGTATCTATGTATCATTATGTATCTCTCTGTCTGTCTGCTTGTCTGTCTGTTGCCTGCTTGCCTGTCTGTCTATCTGAATCTGTCTGTGTGTCAGTCTGTCTATCCGTCAGTCTGTCTGTCTGTCTATCTGTCTACCTATAAATCTATGAATGTATGCGTGAATTTGCGTGTGACTGTGTATGTGGATATGTTGACGTGTGTATACGTGTATGTGTGTTTGTGTTTGCGTGTATGCGTGTATGTGAGTATGTATTTGCGTGTATGCGTGTATGTGTGTGTATCTGTGTATCGAGTGTATCTGCGTATTTGTGTATCTGTGTGTCTGTCTGCGTGCCTGCCTGTCTGTATGCACGCATGCCTGTGTGTATGTAGGTGTGCGTGTGTGTGTCGGCAAATGTAAACGTATTGTAGCGCAACCAATGCAGTGGAATGGAATGTATGCATGAGTTTATTTCAGGATATCCTTTGCGGCGTCGGCTTATAATGCTTTATTGGGGTGCGTGCAGTATGCTAAGACAAACCCACATGTGGAAAGGACTCCTCCGGTATCAACTGTTCGATAGCAAAATCCTATTTGGGGTGGTGCACTCTCGATCCCTTTCAATGACAAAATTATTGTTGGTATGAACGCGCTATAAGGGGGTATCTTTTTCTGGGGGTACCTTTTAGGGCTTGATTCAAGGGGTAACTAGTTGTCGATGAAGTGTTCATTGAACATGGCGGAAGCTAAGCAAAAGCTGGAGGAAGGGGGGGAAAGAGAAGTTGACCAAAGTGCTTCTTGCGGATGAAGATTATCATGTTTACCCTGACAAACAATGAGAGATATCTACCAAGGAGCACCAGGTGTTTCAACGTGTAACCCTTAAACAAAGTGGAGATTTGGAGTAGCGGGAACGGTCTCCTTGCGGATGTTGGAGAAAAAATGCAAATCATGGCAAAGGCTTGGCAGAAGAGTGGCCACCGAAAAAGAGGGCATTGGTAGTTGACTTTTAAAGCGGTTCCCCACCTCCAACAAATGCACAAGGGGAAAAGTCAACTGAAAAGGGCCACCTTCCGGAACCCTGGCCCAGAACTCCAACTCCTATGGCGACTCCAAGGCTCAAAGTGCTGTTGGGGAATACGGAACAAGGCGTCATGATTAGAGTGGGGACCAGTTATAGAATGTATATTGTTTGCTTCACTTTGAGTCACAGGTAAAATGTAAAAAACAATGTGTCCTATCTCCTAAGTCTACCCCAGGCGTGCGACCGCGGAACCTTTGGCACTCGTCGGGCGAGAGGAGTCCCTCGAGCTCTCGCGCGAACTTGCCCCCGAAGATGCCCCCGCAGGAAGCGTTCAAGGGGATCTCCTCCCCAGAGCCCAACGCCACCTCGGGGGGTGGGATAAGCCCATGTTTCAACCAGTTAATGACCAGGTGTCACATCATGGTCTTGTAAGCTACAATCCATACCCGGCAATTGCTTGTTGTGGGTAAACCAACAAGCATGCTGAAAATCAAGAGGGTGGCCACATCTATGGCTGGGCCTGACCTGCTCCGTGCCTGTGCGTCCACCGGCCCCAGCAACGCCTCACCCACCGCGCGCGCCGTTGCATCGTTGAGGCACAGCTCCCAGCGCTGGCCGTGGATGATCACGGCGCAGCGCTCGCCGGCTGGGCCGGTCACGTACCTTCACCCAAATGGGGATTCCCTTAGGGCTCCCTTTTACCAAACAAAAGGTGGTCCATTTTGAGAAAACACTCGAATCTGGATTTGCACTACAAAAACACTTGTAGATTCTGAGACATAGTTAGTCAACCTTAAGATTGAACCCATGTTTGGAAGAGACCCCCAACCTGCGGGTTGCACAAGGGCTCTGGTTGAGCTCAGGTTCACTTGGGCGAAAGGTTGCAAAAGGTACACGCAGCCATGGTGGGGTCCCAGGAAACCTACCTGTGGGCCTTCTTATAGTTGGGGATGAGCTATCCGCCAGACACCCTCCGTAACGCAAGAATTGCGCTGAGCACCTGGGTGCCAAACACACATTCACAAAACTGTCGGTGTTCTGGACTCAGCAGGTGCCAAAAGTATTTTCAGGGTAGTTTGCAGGTCCAGGCACCCGTTTTGAAGTTTAGTTTCGCCAAAATTTTGAGCCCTCTTTTCTCCAGGCGGCCGAGGATTCCGTGGCAGCTCTGGCACCTCCGGGCCCAAGGCGGCGGCGATGTCCGGGAGCTCGCCCAAAAGGCCGGAGAGGCAGCGGCACAGCGCCGCCCAGTCTGGGACCTGTCTGAGATCTTTTCAGCTTCAAATGAAAAATTCCGCAGCGGTCACCTCCACTTCCAGTTCCGCTTCTTCGAGTCTGAGGCCGTTTCTCCAGCTGAAAGATCTGGGGTCGCTGCCCAGATAGGCTCCGGAGTGGTTTGGAGTGACTCTGGGTTCCGGGGTTGCTGGTGAACCACTGGCCCACTGTGGCTTATTTCGCCGTTGGAAGTTGGTACGGGTGCGTCAGAGGACCCTACGCTTTGGGCCGTAAGCTACAGGAGCGTCCTTTTTCACCAAAACAGCAACCAACTGGCAGGCAACAAGGGTACCCTCACAGACCAGGACCAAAAGACAAAACTATATTTTGCGGGTGCATATTTTAGGACACACCCATCGAGAATCTTGGATTTCCTTATATACCGGGAAGCTGGCATGAAACTCGTTGAACCCACCTTTTTCTGGTTGTCTGGTGGGTAACTGATATCAATTTCAGAACAAAAATGCCTGCACCTCGCAGTAGATTATATAGGCAGAGACCTTCAGAGACACAATATGACAAGCAACTTGACGGCCAAGACGGACAAACCAGCATGCAAAACTTGAGTACCATTGCTAGACCAACTAGCGCCACCAACTCTAACAGTTCCGCCGCTGCTGCTAGTTCTGCTCCCTCTGATCCCATACTGCTCAGAGCCGCAGCAAGGGGAGCCATTGCAGCCTCATAGACTGGCTCTGTATCAACATTGGATACCAGTAGTGCAACGACAACAACAGCCTGGACGGCTGAGCTTTGTACTACCACTGGCACCAAATCTGTTTCGGCTACTGCTGAGGAAAGCGAGCCCTGCCTCCTGGTAATCAAAGGTCCTGCCCAAAGTTGACCTTATCGAACCGGTCCTTCTGAAAAGCTCCACTAGCATGCGCTCACGGCACGGCTTGCCTCGGCTGTTCACGTCCACGTGCTCCGTGCGCATTCGACGCTCCCAGGACTCGACATCAGTACTTGATCCTGGGTGTGGCTTTGAGGGTGATCCCTTTGCCCGTGGCTTACAACGTAGAGGGAAGTTTACGAGTGGAGTTTGATGGGACATGGTGTCCCCACCCCATTTTCAAAACAAACCCACCTCGCAGCGCGATGCAAATCCTCCGCCGCGGCAGCACCGCGATGCAGCCCCCGAGGTTGGCGCCCTGCGCAAAATCGCGGATGCGCGCGGCGTAGGCCGCGGGCAAGCCGTCATGCAGGCACTTCACGGGCCAATCCAGGTGGTACCTGGGCCAGACTGATGATAAAATATCCTCACATCCAAAACCTGAACTTGGTGAAGTTCATCCATCCTTTGCGAAAAAAGTTGAAAACTTTTAGTGGGATAGTGCCATAAACACCCAGTTCAGTCCGGCCATGGAACAAGACGACCGTGGAATCCGTGTTTTCCCCAGAGTCGTATAGCTTGGACCGAAGATCCATGAGCATGTGGCCGAGCCGGTTTTCGCCCTGCCAGGGTTGGGTCAGAGTCTTTGTTTGAACCATGCTTTAAGCCAACAACTCATTTTTAGGTTAGCCAGAAAAGCCCAGCCAAGCACAAGAAACTCAGCTAAATGAGGCTCTTTGTCTGTGTGTGTGTGTCGGTCAACTCCTGATGTGAGCAAGGGTCATTGGTTGCCTTAATAAGAACCCCTTTAAAAAGTATTTCAAACCCTTTAAGAGGTTAGATGACCACCCTTTTCGCCAAGACAAAAACCCAACCCGCAAATCCGAGTTTTCCTTGGCATGCGAGGAGAATCCTGCCTGCTGCGAGGGGATGTGGTAGCCCCAAACGAGGTCCGGGCTCCCGGAGTGGCCGTCCACCAGCTGGCCCTGGGTGGCCAGCAGCCGCTGGCGCAGGACGGGGTCTGAGAACTTGGCGGCGAGGCATTGGGCCATCACCTGGACATTCGCTGCCAATGACCCACCCACAGCCAAATTGTTTCAGAGGCTACCTGATGGCTGGACTGGGGGGGGGGGGAAGGAGTCAGGTACCTCCTTTAGGTACCAAGAACCCAGATGTTGCCAAGAAGCCGAAACAACTAATACCTCAAAAGAAGGCTGCAATTTTGACGTCCACCGGACAGGTGTTGAGTCGGTGCCAAAGGAGGAGGGGGGGCTATCATCCCAAGTGAGAAGCGCCCGGGCCCGGACTTTTGGTCTGCCAAAATGGTTGTAAGGGGCCGTACTTTAAGCACCATGAAGCCAGGTACTAGAAGCACCTATTAACATGACATAGTAGGCTTGTGGGCGCCGTTCAAGTGTTTGGTGAGGGCAAGGTATAGATTCAAGGGTTACCGGTTTGGGGCCCAAAAGGAAACAACAAACCGTCCAAGTGCGCTGCTCGCACATTTTCACGCTTGAACAGCCACACTGCGGATGCAACGGATGTAAAACCCCAAACTGACCGATCAAATTCTTCACCCCCCTCTGCGTGTTAAAGGGGCCTTTCACAAAGCAGCCAAACAGAAACACAACAGAGGGAGAAGGTCATGGGGAACCGTTGTATACATGCAAACCATGACAGTTGCGCTTTTAGCGCCACTGCCAAGTAGATTGGTAACCGCTGCTGTCATTCCATCCTCCCCAACCGGACCAGTTCTGCCAGCTGCCTTGGCTCCAATGCTCACCCTCGCGGGCGGCGGGAGCACTTTGATCGGCATAGCGAGCGGCATTGCGAGCGAGGTGCTTGGTGCTCTCGTTCTTTGAAAACTCAACTGAGTTTCGGGCATATCGCTCGTTCTGGCTGAATATCCAGTCCATTTCGTGGCGGAGGTCCTCGAGGGAATTGCTTCGCAAATGGATGATGCCATTCCAACATCCAATGCTGCGAGGCTTGTCCTGCTCGGAGACAACACTCACAAAAGCCCGTGGACTGTATGGCATTCCCTGAAACATGATGATCCAACGGGAACTGAGTGCATCCTGCAATTCGCTGGGCAAAAACTCCACCTCCGTCTTTATGTACGCGAGCCTTGCGATTCGCGACTCAGAAGTTGATCCAAGGCCAACTCCAAGAGTGCGCTGGGCTTGCGACTGCTTTGGAGCAGCCAAGACGAGGTTTGCACACAACTCCATGCGGAGTATATCCGCATCCCGACGGCCCACTTCAAGCATACGAACCCTGTATTGAAGGTCGAGTTCATAGCGATCAAGTAGAGAGTGGTAGCCGTTCTTCAGGGCGGACTTGTGCTTCTTCCGGGCCTCCTGAATGACGGCACTGTCCGGGGAGTTCAGGCCACGAAGGATGCTACTCCGATCCTCCTCGCGGAGGTCAAAAGTTCCCACGGATGCCAAAACCTGGGCTGTGACATGGGTGCTGAGGCCCATCTTCTTCAGCAAATTGGAACGCTGCACAAGGTAATTCTTTTGCTGCTCTTTCAACAGGCGAGGATTGAGGGGTGACAACTGCCCACATGATGTGCAGTGGACCTGCCCCTCGAACACACTGTTGTTGCAAACCGGGCACGTGGCGACATTCAGCTCAACGTTCTCCATTGGATTGAAAGTCTTCTGTCTCTTCGCTTCCCCTTGCGGGGCGCGAGGAGACGCCACATTGGTGCGGGTTGTAGCAATGCGCTCCAGTGCTGTGGACCGATCATCAACCACGGCTTGGTCGCGCTTCATCCCCTGGGGTTCATCCTCAGTCGCCTCAGCTGGTGCACCTGCATCCGATTGCTCGGAGCGAGTGTACCATACATCGCCATTTGTAGCGTCCAATACAGAAATAATCGTGTAGTTGGGCACCTTGTCGCGCGTGAGGACGCCATCGCTCTCTGTCTTGAAAAAGCAAAGCCCTGCGCGAATGGCCATCCTGAGGTCGATCTGTATTTCCAAGGGCTTGTTAGCGCGTACACCTGAGATGTAATTTTCGTTCGTGCTCGGAATGTCAGCGAAGAAAACGTGAGGTCTGCCTGTCTCGTGCTGGTCACCTCCTCCTGGAAGCAGTCCGTTTCGCATAATGTTGGCGAAGTTCCGCTTATCGGTGCGATGATAGAGCACCGTAGGAGGGTTGCTGCAGACGTTCCAGCCAGACCAGCGCCCGAGGTCCGTCCCCGGGTTCACGTACCACTCCTTCGCGATGCCGGAGTCGTCAATTTGGAGCCAGTCCTCATGGCCTTGGGAGGCCTTGATCTTGAAAATCCAATGAGAACAGGGGACGTCTCCGCACCGGCTTGCGTCCGGGCAACCAAGCGCAATGAACCTCTGCTTTTTGTCGAGCTTGAAGATGTCCATGATGTTTTGAATATTCCATGGAATGGGATGTCGCAGCTCCTTGCGAAGCGCGAGTCCCAAATCTTCAAGGTCCATGTAGCCGTCCTCATCCATCACGTACCCACATCCTTCTGTCCCTCGACCACGGAGGATCTTCGAGATGCACGTCAGGGAGCTGTGGTACTCATTGCTGATTCTCCTGACGGAAGGGTCGTAATCAAAAGAAGGCTGCTTGATGATCTCAAGTCGCTTGGGGCCCTCACCATAGTCAACATACTTCACGCCGTCATGGATGCTATAAACCCAGCAATCGTAGTGGCCCCCAGTCACGTTCCTCCCGTAGGAGTCGAGTGGTACCGGCCTGCTCGTCGCCTCGTCCCTCTGTGCCACCGCAGCCGCCTTTGCACCGGCTTGCGCCGGGCGAACACTTTCGGAAACATCAGCACCGGAAGGCTCACCTGAAGTTGCAAATTCGGCTGGATCGACAGGGGCAAAATCGAGGGGCTGCCGGAACTCCACTTCTTCACGGGTGAAAGGGAGCCCGATCATCTCTGACAATGAAACGCCGCACTTCGTTAGCGTTTCCTTGCAGTACGCGAGAACCTCAACGTTGACTGTGCAATCCTCTTGGTGGCGCACCTCGAGCACATCGATCGGACGCATTGTGCAATCATGCGAACGTGTCAGCTCGGCTACGCTGCCCATTGCGGGGCGCAAGATGGAAAGCATGTACAACATATGATGGGTTCCGCGCATAAACTGGACGGTCTTCGTGATATTGTCGTCACTGAAGCACATATGATACCTGTCCAGCAAATCGATGGTCTCGACGAAGGGTGTAGCATCAACATATACAAACATATTGTTGGGGTCGCCGATGATGTAATCCCGGACTTCCGTCATGAAACGGTCCCAAATCATAGAGAAGCCGTAGAGGTAGCTCTTCGCGCCGGTCATGACTCCAAGGCATGCGCAGCCCTTGCGGGCCGCGAAATCCCTGGTCCAAGCCAGGTGCCGTCTGGTGTCAGCGAGAAGTTGCTCGGCGTCTCCGATGGGGGTGTCGTAAGGATATGTACCAGTGGGCTCGAGGCCGTCCTTCCCAACGAGCTCGTTGCCATTCCAGTAAATCATCGGAATGATGGTGGCTGCTGGGTAGTCGGTACGCACCTCGTCGATGAGGGCGGCCAACCGCTTGCACAGCTGTTGTAAGCCCTTGCCCCAAAGCATTTCAGACCTCCATGCACCGACACGCGCCGGGCGAGAGGCATCCAAACGCTCCGCAAAGTCGTACTTGCGAAGCTTGCGCTTCTTGCCCGAAACCATGGACAGTCCTGAATCAGCGACAGTCACATAGATAAGGAGGTCGCGGTCTGGTACACGTGGGGCCTGCAAAACTTTCAAGTACGGTTCGCTTATGGTTAACAGGGGTGTAAGCAATTGCAGGTAGTGCGGTTGGTCCTGCACCCATGTATGAATAAGCGACTGTGCAGAGGTCGTCTCGAGGAGGCCCTTGACCGTGGCGGCGAGGTTAGCGTCGTATTTGCCGTTCGTGCATACCGAAGTGGTAGCGACATTCTCCATCCATCTCCTCCATGCCGGATCGCAATCCCTCGCGGGATGCGCCATAGCCGTCGCGCTGCTCATTGCGAAGAAGATGCAGCACAATCACTCGAAAGCAACGGCTGCATGGTGGCATGTTCAGAAAATGCATTGTGAACGGCATCGGTGTAAACATACGTGTATCCCTCGGCTTCCTTCAAATGCGTACCACGGCTTTCATCATGCTCGTGAGAACCATCACACTTGAAGTACTCAACCACGGAAATAGTGGGCATATTACTGGCAACGACCCACTGCTTTTTCATAGGTTTTCCATTTCTCCCTTTAATGCCGATTTTGCAACCATGGAATTCGTACTTGTTCATCTTGTACTTAGTCAAGAAACTCCATAGTTCGGGCCATTTCCAATAACGACACGCCTTGGGAAGTTCGAAGGCAACTCTAACGTCATCAGAATAGACATCATTGAGAATGCGTTTGAACCCTCTCAGCAGTGATCGGAATTGCTTGATGTGACCCTCAATCTTGGCAGCACCTTTGGGAGTTTGCTGGTTGACATAACCCCACGGGCATCCTCCAGTGCAAGGCAATGAAACGTAGAACATTATTGCACCCTTAGGATTCTTGCTCCTAAATTCGGCAATTTCATGGACTAACCACTGCCTGCATGTATCAGAGCACCCGTCTTCGGTTTCAGTTACCCGAATGACACGACATCCCTTTGAAGAGTCTCTTGATTCGCCCAACCGTGAGGTCGTCGAACAACAGAACTCAATAAGGAGGCGCTTGGGCTGAGCGTTGCATAGCGCGGCGATCTGCCCCCCCTGATCACTAACTTCTCCGGCCTTGGCGCACGGGGAGAGCAGCAAACTGGTGGCACAGGCTCGCGCCTGGCGATTGGGGGAGATACCGATCAGCTCAAGTGCATGGTGCCACACTGGGGTGCTGTCAAACGCCTTGGTCAAGATGTCTGCAGCTTGGAGGGTAGTGTCAACATTGATTAGTTCGAACTGCCTATTCACGAATTGCTCCTGGAGCCATCTAAAGCTAATGCGTTGGGTCCTATCCGTGTGCCTTAGCTTCTGTGAGTGTCCCTGCTGCAGGATAGTGATCGTGGCCTGATTGTC